GCGGCCGCTCCTCCACCAGGAAGCCCTGGTTGGGGGGGGGGCACACTGGGACCCAGGCATCCAGGCCCCACAACCCAAAACCAGAGAGAACCCAGGCGTCTGGGCCCCTGACCCCCACTGCCCCTCCCCAGCCCAGACAGGACCCAGGCATCCAGGTCCCCAACTCCCATTATCCCCACTAGGCATCCAGCACCCCTCTGCCCCGCCAGCACAGGCAGAACCCAGGCTTCCAGCCCCCCGCCCGAGAACCCAGGCCCGGCCCCCTACCCCCACCCCCAGGAGGAAACCCAGGCATCTGGGCACGCACCAGGAGGCCGAGGCGGGGCAGTGGCGCCCCAAAGAGCGCGGGCAGGTCCGAGAAGTCCATGCTGGAGTTGTGCTCTGACACCTGCAAAGGATTGTGTGACGGTGGGGGGCACTGCAAAGGGTCCTGGGGTGAAGCTACAAAGGACTGTGGGTAGTTTGGGGACAGAGGGGGGGCATAATCAGGCTGCAAAGGAGCCTGGGATATTGGGAAGGTGTGGGGCAGCTGCAAGGAATTGTGGGATACAGGGGGGTGCAGCTGCAAAGCAGGGTGGGACACTGGGAGGCTGCTATACAGTTGCAAAGTATCATGGGGCACTAGGATACTACTATACAGCTGCAAAGAAGCATGTGGGGACTGGGGTGCAGCTGCAATGGACTGTGGGATATTGTAAAGGATCATGGGATACTGAGAGGCCAGGGTGAAGCTGCAAAGCATGATGGGATACTGAGAGGCTACTGCACAGCTGCAAAGTATTGTGGGATGCAGGGAGGCCACGGAGCAGCTGGAAAGCATCATGGAAAGTCAGGAGACCGGGGCCCAGCTCCAAAGGACTGTGAGATATCAGGAGATCGGGGGCCCAGCTGCAAAGCATTGTGGGACGTCAGGAGGCCAAGATGCAGCAGCTACAAAGGATGCTGGGATATCGGCAGGGCCAGGACACAGCTGCAAAGGACACTGGGGTGTCAGGAGAACAACATGCAGCTCCAAAGGACTGCGGGACATTGGGAGATTGGGGCGCAGCTGCAAAGCATCATGGGCCGGCAGGAGGCCAGGGCATGGCTGCAAAGGCCTGTGGGATACTGGGGGTCCCCCCACCCCCATCCCACTCACGGCATGGATGTAGGCAGCGGCAGGAGGCAGCAGCAGGACGAGGGGCACCAGCAGGGCAGCGATGACCAGGGGCCACGTTGACCTGAGGGCAGGAGCATACCAGAGTCAGGGGGTGGGGCCAATCCTGGACACCTGGGTCCCGTGCTCCCAGCCCCATGCCCTGCACGTAGCCGGGGCAGTCGCATACCCTGGGCTGGGAGTCCAGACACCTGGGTTCTCTCCAGGTGGTGGTGGTGGGGGCAACACCCTGCCCCCCCCCAAGTCTGGCAAAGAACCCAGGCGTCCGGGCTCTAATCCCCTAGAACCACTGAGAGCCCAGGAAAGAGCCCGGGGTCCGGGGTCCCACCCCCACTTCCAACCATTACACACACACAGCAGGGGCCTCAAGCCAGAGGGAGTGGGGGCTGGGCAGTGCCTGGGAGGGGCCCGATCCTGGCTTGGAAGGAGCCCGCTATACCCAGAGGACCCTGATCCCAACCTAGGGGGCCCAATCCTGACCAGAGAGGCTAGGCAGTGCCTGGTGGCCCCAAAAAGCCCCTGGGAGGTCCCAATCACAGCTCGAGGGGCCCAATCCTGCCCCAAGGGCTGGGAGGGGACGAGGTCCTGGCAAGCCGGGGCAGGCTGAGGGCGTGGGGGACGCGGCCCAGCCGGTGCAGTAACAAGCCCAAGCAGCGCCTCGTGGGTGTCATGGGAATGGCAGGGGTGAGGCAGGCGGCACCCCACATCCAGCCCCCACGCAGAGCCAGGATGGGGCCCCAGGCATCCAGGCCCCTCCAGGACCACCCCGAGCCCTATGCCTGCAGTCCAGCAGCCCCCCAGGCTCAACTCATGCTGGGGCGGGGGGGGTCCCCTCACTCCGGCCTGGCTCATGGGAGTCCCCCCCCCGGCAGGCAGCAGGGGGCTCCCTCCGTCAGTGACGTCAGCGGCGTTCCCTGGGCGCAGCAGCAGGGGGCTTCCCCGGCCGCAGCAGGGGGCGCCCTCTAGATAGGGGGAGGGGGTTCGGCTCCCTGCCTGTGTTTACCAGGCCGGCGCGCGGATCTCGCGAGAGCAGCTGGGAGCCACGCCCCCTCCTGGAATGTGCCCCGCCCCCAGGAATGCGGGCGGGGCGAGCGGACGTCCGGATTCCTCCTCCGGGGTTAAGCGGGGCGGGAGAGCCGGGGGGGCATCCCTGCCCCAGCCGGTACTCCTGAGTATTACTGCTGGAGGGAAGAGTGGGGCAGGACCTCCCCCCAGGGTGATGCGGGACCCTGCGTGGGCAGCATTAATCCCCGGGGATTAGGTCCAGACGAGGCCTAAAGCTTGATCCCAAACGAGTATTAGCGGGAGCGTGTGGCTAGTGGTCTGGCCTTTGATTCCTAGAGCCATATGGAGCATTGACCCCTAGGAGTATTATGGAGTATCAACCCCCTGGGGCGTTATGAAGTATTGATCCCTTGGAGTATTGATCTCCTGGGGCACTGTGGGGTATTGGTTCCTGAAATCAGTCGCTTGGAATAGTATGGAGCATCAAACCCCTGGAATATTATGGACTATTGATTGCCAGGAGGGTTACAGAGCATCGCCCCCCCCCCCAGGAGCTCCATGGAGTATTGATCTGCTGGCGTAACATGGAGCATGGCTCGCCAGAGGGATTGCGGAGTATCCATGCCCTGGAGTATTATGGAATATTGGTCCTTGACCCGTAATAGTATCTCTGGAGCCCTGTAGTATTGATCTTCCCCCTGTTCACACCCTGCGTTTCCCTCTGCACTGCAAACAGACCCAGCAGGGGCTGAAGTGTGAGTGTTGGGGGGCTGTGGTCTGACGTATCAATCCATGGGGAGTATTATGGAGTATCGACCCCTGGAGCATTATTTCTGATGGGGGAGTGTAGCATTCAACCCCACCACCATCACCTTTATTCTGTATCCCTGGGGTATTATGGAGTATCAATCCCCTGACGTATCATTGCTACCAGATGCCGGTCCTATTTATGTCTCCCCCTGGAGGGTATTATCTTTATGCTCCTGGTTACTCCCCACTCTGGAATGGGCTTCCAAGAGAGGTGGTGCTGTCACCTAGCTTGGAGGTCTTCAAGAGGAGGCTAGCTAGTCACCTGGCTGGGGTCGTCTGACCTCGGTCCTTTTTCCTGCCAGGGGCAGGGGGTCAGACGCGATGTATTGTGGTCCCTTCTGACTCTACAATCTATGAATAGAGATGCACCCCCCCAGTTCTCCAAGATGAGGGGGCTTCCCTCCTCTTGAATGGAGGTGGGGAATAAACCTCCTGTGATACTCGAGAGAATACGGTAAAGGGGAGTATTGGAGCCCTAACCATTAGCCCTCCCTCCCCCCAGACCCAGTGGCCCCGCCAAAACGGGGGGCGAGGGCGGGGATCTGCGCGCGCAACTCTCTCCTCCACCTTCCCTGGATTCTTTTGTCCCCCGCCCTCCTGGATTCTTAGCTGCGCGCGCAGCCACCCTACCTCCGGAAGTCCTTCTGCCCCACTTCCGGGCCGCGAGCACCGCCTTTCCCGGGATTCCCGGCCGCACTTCCGGGCTGCGCGCGCAGCCCCCCCTTTCCCCCCCGGCGTGACCTTGGCCC